GAGGAGGAGGAGGAGGAGGGGGAGGAGGAGGAGGAGGAAGTGGTGGTGGTGGTGGCAGTGGTAGTAGCTTAGAGTATCACACTAGCGGTGGAATCGGTGTTGTCGTACCTGGTCAAGCTATTCGATCTGTTGCATCTAAAGAAATGCCAGGAAGTATACAATTTGGTAGTACCCAAGCTCAACAACAGTACACCAGTGCGATTGTTGTGCCAACTGCTGCATCGACTTCCATTAAAGTGAGTTGCTAATAGTAAATAACAAATAGAGCGTCGTACAGTGTGTTTCAACGTGTTACTACTGCGTCAACAGGCGAGTGGCTCTACAGGAGGAGGACTCGGTTCTACGTGTGGCGGTGGCAGCATAAACAGCAGTGGCTTGCATAGTGGAATAAGTAGCGGGAATAGCCATAACATGGGTTCCCAGCAACCTACATCGGGTTCGCAAAATCAAGTTCATACACAGCAACAATCGACAATAAGGCATAAGGTACACATCCTTTTCAATCGATCTTTAAATGTTTATAATATAAAAGAACTCTTTACGCCGTAACGTAAATTACGAAAAATTTGAAATTTTAAGAGAGTTACATTCGCTGTTATAGGTACATTCAGGCAATGTAACGCCGCTTGCCTCCACTCCACCCGGTCCTAATCTAGGTGGTGGGAGTGGATCTCAACAGTTTCAGAGATTAAAAGTGGAAGATGCGTTATCGTACCTGGATCAAGTGAAATACAAATTCAGTGATCAACCGCAGGTGATTAAACAAAAAGCTAAATTATGAATATAGCATAGCCTGCATTTATGTCGACATTTTTAAATGTTGTATATATCGTATATTTAATAGTAGTAGTAGTAGGAGTAGGAGCAGCAGCAGTAACAATAGCAGTAGTAGAAGTAATAGTAGTAGCAGTAATAGCAGTAGTAACGCTAATATTATATGTCGTACGACAAGCTTGTCGGACGTTCCAATTGGCTGTCGGATAGAGAATTTCTGGGATACCTGAAGCAAAAATTAAAGATCTTAGGAGAATTCTATCCATCAGTCAATTGACACGTTCGACAATAGTCATGTCGTACGACAGAGGACAGAGAAAAGAAACGCTTGGCATTTATTATTTTAATATTTTTCTTCACAGGTGTACAATGATTTTTTAGATATCATGAAGGAATTTAAGTCGCAAAGTATAGATACTCCAGGTGTTATAACTCGAGTGAGTCATCTGTTCAAAGGACATCCTGAACTCATCGTTGGCTTCAATACGTTTCTTCCGCCAGGCTATAAGATAGAAGTGCAAGCAAACGAACAAGGATACGCCTTCCAAGTGTCCGTTAGTATGCCTAGTCCAACGGCGACGCACACCGCCACGTTATCACAGCACCATTGTACGGTGAATGTTGGCTCACCTCCTGTGGCTAGTCCACCCACTCAGCCTGCGAAAGCACCTCCAGTTTTACAGATAATGCAAGGGTGAGTGTTTCTCGCGCTACACAAAAACACAATGTTAGAATGTGTTGCAAATTGTCAAGAAGAGTTCGCAGATTGCGATATGTTACTATAGAATATACGATTACATCTGTCGTTGCCACAGGTCAGGCAGTATACACCATACTTTGCCAAACAGTATTACAACCAACAGTTTAACTACTCACGCGCCATCACCACCGCCGGTACCGGTGTACAACAACTCGCACATTAGTACTGCACAGGCGCAAGCTGTCAGTCAGGCTCTAAGTCAAGCAGATGGAGTAACGAATAGTGGACAAACGCAACAAAATCAACCAGTCGAATTCAATCATGCGATAAACTATGTCAATAAGATAAAGGTATAGTTGTCAATCACGTCGAAGGTTTCGACGCGAGCTCTGTATTTTCTTTCTCTCTCTTTTTTTAGAATCGGTTCCAAGGACAACCGGACAAATACAAACGTTTCTTGGAGATATTGCATACGTATCAGAAAGAACAGCGGAATTTAAAAGAGTCTGGTCACATGGGAGGTACGAGTTCTGGCTACGGTACAAGCGGAGGAAAACACTTGACGGAAGCAGAAGTTTACAGTCAAGTTGCTATATTGTTTGAAAATCAAGAAGATCTGCTCGCTGAATTCGGACAATTTTTGCCAGATGCTACTAATCAACAAAGTTCACTGGTGAGTCACTTACTTCTTCCTAGCAATTTCTCCCTCGACAAAAGGGGAAAAAGTGCCCTGTTCTGATTCGTATTAGTCCGCCATGTTTCAGACTAACAAGACTACATCGGTCAATGATCACGCGGCGATTGTTAAGAAACCAATCGGGCTGAAGACGTCGTACAACAATTCCGGTACTATCACAAGGGATCTTCGAGAATCCGGCGGCACGACCGGTTTGGAGCGCGACGGTCGGGATCATAGGGAACGGGAACGGGAACGCGAGCGGGATAGACCGAGCATCAGAGATGTCAATAGTGGCCAGAAATTCGGACACAGTACGGGACAGTTGAAGAGAAGTCCGTCATTCTCGACCTCGGTAACAGCAGGGAATTTGCAACACGGACCGCCACCTTTGAAGAAGCACAAAGTCGCTTCGATGCGTGATATTACTATCGCGGAAGCTGGCAAATATGGTACTTTGAACGACTACGCTTTCTTCGACAAGGTGAATATTGAAAACATATCCTTCATAATTTTCAATCTTTCTCGTGTCAAGTTGGGTCAGGTTCCACGAATAAACGTAAATGATGTATTTTTAGGTTCGAAAGGCACTCAGGTCGCAAGAAGTCTACGAAAATTTTCTTCGGTGCCTTGTACTTTTTAATCAAGAGATAGTGTCGAAATCGGAACTTATTCTGCTAATAACACCGTTCCTCGGCCGTTTCCCCGAACTACTGCGTTGGTTCAAAGATTTCCTTGGTCATCTGGCCGACTTGTCCGCCACTGCGACGACAAACGCGAGTAGCGCGACGGGAATGGAAACTTTTCCAAACAATGTTGTACGGAGCCATCAAGAACGGCCGCAAGGTGACTTGGCGATCGAGATCGATTACACAGCGTGCAAGCGATTAGGAGCGTCGTACTGCGCTTTGCCAAAATCGTATGTACAACCAAAGTGTAGTGGCAGGACGCAACTTTGTAAAGAAGTCCTCAATGATACGTGGGTTTCCTTTCCAACCTGGTCCGAAGACAGTACATTTGTAACGTCCAGGTAATTTGTAATTTCTGTCCAATCAAATCCTCTCTCCCTTCTCTGTCATTCTTTTTTAACGAAATACGAAATCTGTGTGATTCATTCTAGGAAAACTCAGTACGAAGAATCCATATATCGATGCGAGGACGAGCGTTTCGAGTTGGACGGTGTGATAGAAACCAACGCGGCGACGATCAGAGTGCTCGAGGGTGTTCACAAAAAGATGAATAGGATGAGCCAAGAGGAATTGCAAAAGTTCAAGCTTGACGATTGCTTGGGTGGCAGTTCCCCCACGATTCATCAGCGAGCGTTAAAAAGGATATACGGTGACAAAGCTGCCGATATCATAGATGGTCTGAAGAAAAATCCTGTAGTGGCTGTACCGGTCGTACTCCGTCGTTTAAAAAGTAAGGAGGAGGAGTGGCGGGAGGCGCAAAAAGGGTTCAATAAAATTTGGAGGGAACAAAACGAAAAGTACTACTTGAAATCTTTGGACCATCAAGGAATTAACTTTAAACAAAACGATGTAAAGGCGTTAAGGTCCAAGAGCTTATTCAATGAGATCGAGACATTGTACGACGAGGTTGGTACTTTATACTTTATCATTAGCTCTCGCTATCGTTGGTCAAATTCGACTAATTTAATCGTTTCAATGTTCTTTTCAACAGCGACATGAGCAGGGTGACGAGGGTGGCGGCGATGGTCAAGGAAATAGTGGTCCGCATCTCGTGCTACCGTACAAAGACAAGACTGTGTTGGATGATGCCGCTAATCTCTTGATTCATCATGTCAAACGACAAACTGCTATCCACAAAGAAGACAAGCAACGCATCAAACTTTTGTTGAAGCATTTCATACCCGATCTCTTTTTCTATAGACGACAAGAACTTAGCGATGATGAGAGGGATGATGATGGTAAGTTTTCTTGTTGCGTTATCTTATGATAGATTCAGAAAGACGGATACATTCGTTGCCGCAATAATCAACAAATAGCTCGTTCTAACACACGTATTCTCTTTGCTTTCTTGTTGTGCCATAGACGAGAAGGAAGATATAAACGTGGCAGCGTATAACAACTCCCAGTCCACGACAACCGGTTCATCGTTAGGTCAAGGTTTGCAGGCCAACAGGAGTAAGGCTCCCGTGTCACCGAATACGTCTTCCACTTTGATCAAAACCGAATCCGATGTCAAAGTACCCATTCATGCACTCTCCACTGATCCCGAGGAGGCGTACACGCTTTTCATGAGCAGTAATAATTGGTACCTTTTTTTGAGGTTACACCATATACTGTGCGAGAGATTGACAAAAATGTGCGAAAGAGCAAACACTCTTATCGAGGAAGAATCCAAGTATAAGCAGCAGCGGAAAGAAAGCACAGCGGTTGCTTTGAGACTGAAACCGAAAAGTAAGTAATTGCTTTACAAAAGTGAGTAAGCAGAGTGAACGATATCTCATGATTAACCACTCCTTCTCGTGCTTTACGTAGGTGAAATTGAAGTTGAAGAGTATTATTCTGCTTTTTTGGACATGGTTAAAAATGTTCTCGATGGAAATATGGAGAGTACTGCGTACGAGGATACATTACGAGAAATGTTCGGTATACATGCCTATATTGCTTTTACTCTCGATAAGGTCGTAACGTACGCTGTGAGACAGGTGAGTATAGGCAGATTTCGTCGTATCTTGACTTTCGCCGGATTTTGTACAAGAGTTTATAAAAATCCTTTTCTCTCTCATACCAGTTGCAACACTTGGTCTCAGATTCTATATGTCAACAATGCATGGACTTGTTTCAAAAGGAGCAACGTCAGCCTAAAGAGAGTAGTGGAGCCGGCGGATTGTGCGCTACGGCGTACATGAGATTGGGGGCAGAATTGTCGTATCAGCGTAAAGCGGAAAAGACAATGGCGGATGAAAATTGTTTCAAGATATATATAGTAAGTCTCTCTCTCTCTCTCTCTCTCTCTCTCTCTCTCTCTCTC